GCCGAGCGTTAAATTGACCACGGCGGTAAATTGCACGGTAAGAAGTCCGAGACTGAATCATTGTATTGGACGATGAATTAAGGGAATATATTTGTCGTTTTTGTCTGTATCTGTAATAATAAGATAATCAAAATCGACTTGCCACAACGCTATAAAAAAGAGGAGAGAGCTGAACGCGATCATATCGCCGCGTGTAACATCAAATTGCATTAAATTTATCGATTCGAGATTCAACTAATTATTTCTATCAGACTTTCAAGTCTATTCTGCGAAGTGCAATTAATAATCCGCAAATCTTAACGAAATTCGCGATAAGAAACCTGACGCGCGCGCAGTACATTTTTGAAAGATTAAATTGTCGCGGAACACCGAGTATTTGGTACGTGTCTATTATTAGCTGCATTCAATGGAAAATACAACTTAGCAACTCTGTGTAAGATTCTTTAACCTTTAAGTAAGTAAGTGGAGGCGACAGTACCCCACGCATAATTATTTGTTCTCTTGTTCTAGAAAAGAAACAAGTATTGCTCAGAAGTTCCAATGCCAAGGGCACACGATAAACAAAATGTCAGTTGACTGCTGTGTCGTTTCATTAAAAATAATGAAAATTGTGTACCCGTGTGTGCAATTATATACTTTTGTTATGGACTTTTCATGATAACAGTCGCCCGTTATTTTGTCTACTGGGTGTTCCTGTCTTTAAAGTTCATTATTTTTACATTTCTCGATCTCATAAAAGTATAAATAATATAAATTTAACTCGAGATATACATACAGTTAAAAAGTATTAATTATAATATTAAATATCAAAGAAATAATAGCAACCCAATTCCTTTTGAGTTAAATAACATTTTGTTATATTTAACTTTCATGTGTGTCAAAATGTGAATTAGTTTCTATAGTTAATTTCAAAGTACATAACGTCTATATTAATGTACGCACTTAGTTAATAATAAATTAAATTTGAGTCGAGTTTAATACGTTTTCTGGAGTTTCTTAAATTGTTTAACTTCATTCTCTCAGTTAAATTTATTTAGTAGGAGCAGTAGTGACCTATAGAAATGACTAAAAATAAACATTGTTAAATTTATAATATCAACTTACACTCAATTTGAGTGTAATTTAAGATTATGAATTCAACAATGTAAAAATAACAATTTTCTTAAGTGTTTTGAGCATCCCACCTACTTACTTAAAGGTTAATACGATTATTGGTTTTTGCTCTTACAATTGGTTTCTCACTGGGGCTTTAAGTATATAAACCAATTATATTAAAGAATTTTACAACAGCTGCAGAGCTGCTTTTTCTAAACGTAGTTATTACTACACGTAAAATATTTGATACATAGTTGGAAAATTTGTATTATATTAAGTTTAACATATTTCACGTAGGTATCTCGAAAATGGTCCATTCAAATTTTTGTATTAATACAAAATGAATACAATTAGAAAGTAACACAAATATTATTAAAAATATTAATACAATAAATGTAACACTGACACAGTTTGTAAGCGAACTATGAAAGCATATTTTTTTCAGTTAACATTTATGATATGTTAAATTAATGCATATTTTATTTATTTATCGTGGAATTTGTTTTAAAATTATATTTATACGTATTATTTATTCACTTATTTGTAACTTTTGTTATTTTGGCACTAAAAATGTTGAATATTAATTTAATACAAAATATGTAAATAACGTAATCACGGGATTATGTAAAATTAATATTCGGATGTGTTGAAAATTTAACAGAAACTTTGAACGAAAATGTGAATGGACGGTTTTTAATGCAAATACAAAATGGTTTTCGTTATGCAGTGCAGCTGCGTGTTGGCTGGTAAATGCGGCGTATGGCCTATAAGCCTATTGTTTACGCTGTTACCTTGATGTTTCGCGCGGCGCGACTGTGTTCGCGGGGAGGTGGGTAGGCGAGCAGGTAAGCCGCGTGACGACGCATTATCCTTCGAGACGCGAAAGCGACAAGTTGCGACTGTCGCGAGTGATACGATATACGTCTAAAAATCGCGATTATTTCCTATGAAAAATTCAACGATAATTGGATTGCGCGAGTGCTCGACTTTCCTGCATTTCGCAGCTTATGCGAGCATTATCGAGGTAACGGTCGTTCATTGAGACGAATGTATCTCGCGCTATTTCAAGCAGTACAAATGTACCTCGCCTTTCGTATAAACCTCGGAAGAAGCATTGGATCGAGTAATTTTCAAGTAACGGAGAGATGTTCCGATCGTTTAAAATAGCACGTCATTGGATTTGTGCGTTCAAAGTGCATTGCACGTACGATACTAAATCTTGATTAGTTCGAATAGTTCTTTTGTTTTCTTTGAATCTTTCATTTTAGGAATCGAATTTATTGCGTGATATAATGTATAAAGCATTCTGTTTTTTTTTTTTCAATTTCTTTTGTTGCAACTCCGTTAATTTGCGAGAATCGTGGATAGAAAATAAAATATTGAGCTTCTATTGTGTATTAAAATAAAAGATTTCTCGCGAATTAAATTTTATAAACAAAACTTTCTTAATTTGAAGTTGTAATATAGGATATTTAGTGTTATTAATGAAGTGTATATTAAAAATCAAAAGTTGTGATAAGTTGTCGCATTGACAGAAAAGTGACACGTATAAAAAAATTTATATTATAATTGCAGTGTTCTAATTTTAAAAACTCATATGGCATATAATTTTAAGGATACATATAATTTTTCAATTATAATATAGAAAGAAAGTGAAGTTATGCATATTTTGTTATCATAATTATGCATGATGTTCAGAATTTAAAAAATATTTTACTGAAAAGTTTCTAATTGAAATGTGTTACTTTTTTTTTTTATCAATACTTTGTTATTTTCGATATCTTCATCATCAGAATTTGATTTGAAATTTTACAAGGATCATCATTTCGTTGGACGAGGTAAGCCAAATATTGATCCGGAAATCGTGAATGCGTGTATTTCTGTAATAAATTCATCTCAACTCTCTCTCTTTTTCTTTTAACCACTCTTTCTGACTTTTAGGCCTTTATTTTCCGCGAACGTCGGCGTCGAGTGTGCCACCGATCGCACGTAAGAATGTAAGCACTTCGCCGCGAGAGCTTTTGTCTCGTCGGCTCTTTGTTTCTCGTCGACGGGTGTCTCCTCGGCGGGTCAATGAATCGGGTTGCGCGCCGCGACGACGCGCCCGCCTGTGGAAATGCATTTCGTTCGATGCTTCGGGAATGTGGCGCATTGTTCGACAGTTTGTGACTTCGTGTCGACGTCGTGTCGGTCGGTCCCGCTATCGCACATCCGCGTGCATGTGTGTGCGTATATGCGTTACATTAAATTGTCTCTGAAAATGTCCAATCTTTTCCAACTCATTTTATATACCTCTTTCCATCTATTTCTATAATTATAGAGAGGAATAATTTTGGTTTTAAAATACGTTAAATTCTTTTAATTTATTAATAATATATGTATAACGTTAATTATATATATTATTAATAAATTGAATTCTTTAATTTAATTTAATTATTAATACTAATTTATTTTTATAATGTTGGAGAGCAGTGTAGAAGATTAAAGAACTATTAATGTTTATCTATTTAATTATTATTATTTATTATATGAATATTCAACTATTTCGTAATTATTTTACATAGAAATTTTTTTTAATTTAAAACATTATTTATTTTTATGCGTGTTTATTATTAAGCATTTTGTTATAATCAAAAGCTAAGTAACTAAAATTTAATTTCAAAAAGACCAATCGAAATTATATAAACGAAGAGTAAAATTTACTACCACTACTTGCAGTTTGATTTTAGATTTCTAAGATCCATTTGCATTAATGCAAGATTAATTTTAATCTTGGTTTAACTTATTGTTTATCTTTCTCTAATTCTTAGAACTAGAAAAGGATAAAGAGTAAATTGAAGTGAGATTAAAGTTAATCTTTTTTTTTTACATTGGTGGAACCAAATATAAAACGACATCCAATACAATGAGATTTTAAAGTGTAAAACTTAAATTTAAGCCTTAAATCATAGGAAATTGACCAATCATAGTCGATTATTCTTCTCACATTCGATTTTAATTGGTCAATTTTGTCAGCTTGAGGCTTAAGTTTAAGTTTTATGCCTTAAAATCTCATTGCAGATGCCGCTTGAGAATTATCATCTATTCCAGAGCATGTGCGTGCGCGTGCTTTAAGGATCATTTACGTATGGATGTTCGCACTCGTATGGAATTCGTCTGGCACGGTTCTGCTCGTGGTTATTGACGTAATCGTGTCCCAGTTACACCGCTCGCAATTACGCAAACGTGTTGTCGAATTGCAACCACTTTTTTTTATGCCTCGAGTGGTATGCGAAGAAATGAATTCGTCATTTCTTCTCATGTATTTTGCGTCAGTTTTACGTCAAGATCTTTCTTTAATATTTACACACTAATTAGTATTTCATATATGGCAAATTTTATCACATATTTGAGTAGTTCAACTGTAGGTTGAAGCTTGCTTATCCTTTGTAGGTAGGTGGTTGATGTTCAAAACACGACCAAATAATTTTATCTTATAATCATATTTTTTAATTTTTTGTTTATAGAATTAAATTTAATTATTATTTTACCTTTATATATGAGTCGAGAAAAAATAAAAATAATGAATTTCAATACTTTTTAGTTTCTTTTTCACAATGCACAAGGTTTTTAAAATAACTATGTATGTTGTAACCACCTACTTAAAGCTTATCAACGTTTGTACAAAAAAGTAAATAGCGAGAGGATAATTTTTATTAATTTAGATCAAATATTGAGAGATATAAATATATATCGAGAGATATAAACGTTAAAAATTTAGTTAAGAAAATCAAGAAAGAAAATGATACGAAAGTGTCAAAGCAAGTAAATGCAAAATCTCGAGGGTCTCCATATACTAATCTAGATAAAACTACAATTCATTCTTTAACCTCTTTTCTCTGACCATTCTTTTTCTGTCATTTTAGGAAATGACCGTGCCACTCACACCACTGACGGCGATCGCGCAAACACCGCGGAAGGAGCAGGAGTCCAAGTTCACCTTCAACCCTCAACTGGCGAAGGTAAGAATCGATCGGTCCACCCACTCATTGGAACTAGCTCGTATATCTCGCTGATCAAAATGGCAAACGGGGAGTCGAGAGTAATCACTATTCTCTGCTTGAAAAAAAAAAGCGTTTTGATATTCGTAATTGCTCTAATGGCAATATATTCCTTAATCCTTTCGTTACCAACTGTGAGCTGTTTACATGGAGAAGAATTTTTCTTTCTTATGCGAGGGATTTTTTCTGTTACGATTATTACGTCGCTTATGATTTTTACTTGAAGTGATATAATAAACGGAAGGCGACAAATGAAAGAAAAATATTCTCGAAGATAGAAACTTTTTATTGTATAGTAATACGTTCGCTTTTTGCACGACGTAGAAAGAGTTGGGGGGCTTATCGATCATGATATTAGAATTCTGATAAAGCAGAGAACTGTATAATGCATACGCGGTGTCCTGAATTTAAAATATCGGAACTTCGGGAGCATGTTCGATAAACTAAGAAAACAAAAATCCTTTAGATATTTTTGCTTTGTTTTGGAGAAAATCGTAAAAACAAGACAATTTTTGTTTTCGTACTTATTTATTCATACTTATTCATTCATATTTATTCATTTATACTTTTTTTTCTCAATAACGCGCTCTCGAAGTTTTGGCATTTAAATTCGAGACACCCTGTACATTACGGTAACGTTTCAATCAAAATAGCGTGAACGTGAACTTCGTTGTCGAAAGCACGCATATTTTTGGGAAAAGCGAAAGAGACGAGTGCGAAATACCGAGATTGATTTCGCGCCTGTCTCTCTCGCGAGCGTGATAACTCACAAGCGTGATATCGATCTCGCCAACATTTCGAATCGTTCGTGCCACTTGGCACGATATCAAGCATCGCTTTGCGTGTCGGTGTGTGTAACGTATGCATGTAATGCCGCGCGTGGCACGTGTATATATGTAAAAATTTTACGAGTCACGGTGGCTCGAACGCTAATCTCGTGCGAAATTACAACGATAACGTAAACGTTCGCGATAAACGTACGTGGAATGTAGTAAAATCCACACGTGCACACGCACATGCATTATTAGTTCTGCGAATGGTTATTGCCAAAGAATTTTTCATGTTACGTTTAATCCAAGAATAGTCATCTAATCTTTTTTTTACATAAACGATCATTTATATTAAAAAAACATTTTATATTTGTGTTATAAACGATCTACTCAAGTCTTTGTTAAAATTTTGTTAAATCTTTGTTAAATTTTTAACATAACGTGCGTGTTATTTGAATATTTTATGTTAAATTGATATTCATTTTAAATGATTCTTAATATTAAAATAACACAATTTATAAATAAGTGAACAGACGACATAAAAATCATCTTCTTGTAAAACGTAAATCTTATAATATAAATGAATAAAATGTGTTAATTGAACATATTATAAATATTAAATTTACACATTTACTTATTTTTATCTACATTTTTATTGTCCTCCATATCAGTAATAAACTGTTTAAAATTATTTTTTGGCTCGTAGCCGTTCTTATTTTGTATTTATTTAATATTAAATTTATTGAAACATTTTAATATGCAGTAAATGTCAATTCCAATAAAGAACTATAATTGTGCCAGTGTTACGTTTCTATGTTAGTTTTTTTCATAATATTTATGTATACTTTCTGACATATATTCATGTTATGTTAAATTAAAAGAGTAGACTGTTTAGGACATGTGAAATGTGTGAAATTTAACACAAATTTTCCAACTGTGCTTGGAGTGTTTTTATATCCCTATTAAAAAGAAGTCACTTTATTAATTATACTTAGGTTGTTTTTACTTCAATTAAAAGTTATCATTTTAATTACGTAAGGTATTGTATATTAACTGTTCCAATTAATTAATATTTAGGATAATTTTATATATTATCAATTTACTTGATACTAAAAATAAATATAAAAAATAGGTATTAATTTCTGATCAGAGTAAAAAAAACTACTGTATACAACTGCTTTAATTTCTTGAAGTTGAGATGTAAAAATCACCGTAGATAATTATCCTTGGATTAATTACTTGTTGATATGTTTTCACATTTAAAATATATAACTTTCTAAAGACACACGGTCACGCTATTTTCCAATTGAAATTATTGGCGTTGACGTTTGCGGAGATGTTTAGTTGATCATCTAATCGACCGTTTAATTGATCGGAATTCGCGGTCGGTTGCCGTTGTTGAAGCATCGTTTTGACGGGCGGAACATTCGATACCTGCGGGCGAATAATTCTGAAGCAATAATGTCGGCCGAGTGGGAAATGTCTCGGATCGTATTAATTCGAGCTAGGTCTCGTGCTACTTGGCAATGTATCAAGTGTTTGCTGTTCTCAAAAGCTGCAGCGCGACCATAATGTGCGGACGGCGTGAGGAGGAACGGGGTTGTTGGAGCAGAGCAGAGTCGACTGACGCCGGGTGAAAGAGAGAGGAGGCTCGTAAGAGCGCCGGTTTAATTCGGAGTACGTTCTTCTTGAAGCGGCGTCTCTTTTGCGGTGACACTCATCCGACGTAAAAACCCCGTCGCTTGACCGCGCGCTCCGCGAAAAATGGTGTTACTTTGTAAATAAAACTGAGGACGAAACTAATCTGTCCGTCCACTTTTTTCATCCACGTTCTTACCGTTTGATAAAAATCTTCTCGTGATAACGTTGATAAATAAAGTGGATTCTTTACTTTCCCGATATTAAAACAGTTTTTGAACATGGCCAGAGACACTACCGCGTCTCCTGATGTAATTTACATTTTGTGTGCTATCATCTAGAAGATTTACGAGATAAATAGTTTAATTTATTTTTATCGAATGAAAAGTGTCGAAATTTTTTGTCAGTAAAATAATTTTTATTTATTTATCTTGTTATAAATACAAAAACCGTTTACAGCATACAATATTAAATTATTAGATCAAATTAATTTTTATTTGATGTTACAAAATTTTGAGTACATTTAATATAAGAGTGAAAATTTTAATAACACAATTAAGAACCTTGAAATAATTGCAAAACAAGCGGTAAAGATTTATATAAACTTTAATACAAACGTTGTACAGCAAATATAAATTTTCGAAAAACCTAATATACAAGTACTAAGAATAATAGTTGTATATTAAATTTAATTGAATATTGAACAACATCGTGATATAAATGAAAAGAAAAAAAACAACAGATAGCGGAGAAAAGAAAAAAGATTTAGAACACCCATGATTTACTATCGAAAGCTTTAATAATCGTGTTAAAATTATTAATATATGTATGTGTGTGTGAATTCCTATTCGATAGGGTTCTCTAATCTAGAATACACATTATTTATCAATTGATCAAATTTCTGAAAGTTTTTCGAAACTTTCACCGCTTTTACAGATTGTTTATCACAGTCGCCGCAACCGATTTATAACGTTTGATAAGACTTTGCATGATATTTGCAACCCGACATGCTGCAGGAGACTGCATTGCGTATTATAATTCGTTTCCCCTTTTCCTCGCGTCCCGTCGACGTGACTGCGGAAGGTTCGGCGAGGAGTTGGGGAAAAAAGTGCGCGATAAAAAAAAAGGAGGGATAGAAGGAACGATGAGAGAGACCGGGCGAAATCGGCCTCGTAAAAGTGGATTAATTCGGACCTCCATATATATACGTATACATATATATATACATTCCCGCTCGGGGATTCCTTTTTGCGTGCGCGAGTAAATTGTAATAACGGCCGAATGCAAAATCGCTGCCGGCGTTTTCTCCGCTCAAACGTCGCGAGAATTACTCGCGGACTTACCGGGAATGAAATAGCGCGGGTGCGTTTGTGAAATTGCACGGCGCCCGGTGGAATCCGACCGGTATGGTCGACTTCGCACTCTCACAGATGAAAGGAATCGTTACGCGGTATAATACCGGGCTTTTTGTAGACGGTATAATTACCGTTTAGCAAGTAACTCAAGCAGGTGCGTGCGCTTTGTGGTGTTCGCGTTGCGTGTGAGAAACATGGAAATTTATGCTCAATCTATCCCTCTAATATGTTACACGCGTCGCATATCGCGCAACTGAAAAAAAAAAAAAGTTACTAAATCTAATATGTACATATTTCTTCGAATAGTAAACATATACTTACGTAAATAAAAAAATATTTACTTAATGAAAAATGATGTTTAAAAAATATTTTTTTATATATATTAATAATTTTCAAATAAATATATGTTTACATTTAGTAAATATTTACTTAGGACTATTCGAACAAATATTTATTACAATTTAGTTTTTTTTAATATAGTGTAATAAGATCAATAAAATTGTCACTTGATGAAATATTTTGGCAATTTCAATTTAGTGATAATTAATACTTAATTAAAGTATAGCAGTGTCGGTAATTTGTCGTACAGCATTGTCGTTAATTTGATTTTTTTAACGATATTTATTTGCGGTAGACACTTGGCTGGCGTAGTTACAAGTTGATTATTCCGCGTCAAGTTTCGCGGGAGCACAGCCGAGACTGAGTTGTTATTTCATTCGCGATTACAAGAATGCGCGTAAAGGGCCAGCCAAACCGCGCGATAAATTTCTATTATGCCGGGAAAAGGGTCCCCGGGTATCGAGGGAGACGCGGGGACGCGTTGTAAATTACTCGATGCGGAAACGAGAAGCGAGGAGACAAAGTACACTCTCGCGGTTCCCTTTACAAATTTTCCCAGATCCGTTTAATTTCCCCGCTGTTGTTTTCACGAACTTTCCTCCTTCGTTCCCTTTTGCAACGTTAAATCCTTACCCCGACGTTATTTGACAAACTATGCGTAAACTATGCCAGAGTTATTTGCCGTATGCCATTTTGTGGAAACGAATATAATTTTCGGTGCACATACCTATGTGCATGAGATATCTCGTTCAACGTATTAGTTTCTAATGCTAAATTAAAATTTTTTTGCAAAAATGGATGGTTCACGCTTGATCCCTTCCAGCAGAATACAATATCATCGTAATAGCTGATTGTCTTGAGTAAATACTGAGTCTTGAACTTTTCTTTTGCAGTTGACGGAAGTCGCCCCACCAGAGCCTGTAAAATCTCGTGAGTATACTTAAAGTTCTCTTTATCTTTTATATCTTCTACACTGAGAGAAAAGTTTTTGATATTTATGACTATATGATACCATAATTATAGCTATTATTGCTAAAATGTTAGTAATAGTAATTATATGTTTGATTTCATAAAAAATATATACATATATAGAATAGAGAAAATGACTAGAAATTGTAGTTTAATTATAGTAATTGCAACTTTTATGGTAATAATAATTATAATTTTTTTTGATACCAACTATATATTTTTTATAGAACTATATGTCAATATATGTCATTACTAATTTTATAGTAATATATTACAGTATTAATATCGTATTAATTATTACTAATAACTTACAGTAATATACTACAGTAATAGTAATTAAATATAAAAAATTATAGTTTTATGTAATTATAGTCACAATACCAAAAAATACTTTTTTTTGTCGATATACACTGAGAGAACAAAAATGGTTACACTTACCATAATTTAACATAATTTATAATCAATTTTCAATGCCCCAAGCTGTATACTTTTTGTATAACTATAAATATGATATTGTTCTTATTAACATTACAACAGTAATAACTATAAAAGTAGAGTTTACAACTATAATGATTCTTATTAGAATTATAAATACCAAACACTTCTCTCTCAGTATATATACAAACTAATATATATCATTGAATATAGTGAGAGTATTACGTGTACATGCATATCGTTGACAAGTTTTTCTTGATTGTAATTCCTTCGATATTACATCGAAAAAAATAAAATTATCTTTTTTTCGCATTACTCAAGCATGTAACGATATTTGCATTTCTGCGTAATTTGTATGTGCGATTTCTCGCGCTCGTTTACTTTCGTACGAAATCACTTGTTGTGTATGAGAATATTTAATGATTATTATATCATGTTAAAAAAAAAAAAATTGGACGTGCAACATGATACTCGTCATGTCACGCTGCTGCATTTTCACGAAGTTGAAGTTTTATTAACGTCAACGCTGAACGCGCCGCTGTCAACTTTCGAGCCAGTGTACTGGCATTTACCGCAATTTTTCGCGATAAAACACACATTGTGTCAGAATACAGAATATAGGATCACCAACGGACATAATTTCCGGAAACTGTCCGCTACATTCGCCGACGATTAAAACGCGACGCTGCGTATATTGCTCGAAACGATATTTTAAAGTCACGCACGCAGTCGAATGGATATTAATCGCCGTGTCTGTAATTCGCGCATGCAGTATCGATATGGAATTCACGGTTCCATGCGACGGTTTTATGTATGTGTCCGTTTAACAACATGTTTTTATTTATAAATAAAAAAAAAAAGAAAAAAAAGAAGAAAAAAGATTGGGGGAGGAACATTTTCGCTGCGACGAAGCGCGCACCGAACATAAAACCTGTGGATTCCGCGCAAAATCCTCTGATTGTCGATTTCGCGGGCACATTTCATGAATCAGCCATTCGACCTCTGGCATTCGTTCATTTAACCGTTTAAGCGCGTGAAATACGCGTTATTTATTCGCTCGTGTGATCCTCGTGCGACTCATTATTTATCGTGGTTACGCGGGTCGTTTCGCGCGAATCGTTCTCCAGTTTAATCTTGTTATCAGTTTCTTGTAACATTTTTATTATTGAGGCCTATTTCTATCAACGTAGATTAACTGTAATCTCGGTTCAATTTAATCGATTCTTAACATTCTTTTATTTCTTGGAATCAGATAAAGATAAAAAATAAATTAATAAATCGATATTTTAATCTATATTAGAAGAAATGGACATGAATTTAAATTTTTAATTCAAACAGATTATACATTTCAGATAATTATAATTTTATTACTCTCCAAGTTTCTTGGAGTGAAATCTTACTCAAAAAGTAAAAGTCTACCACGCAAGAGTGCAAATTTATTATTATTATTATTTTTAATATTGACAGTATTTGTTAATTCCTTTGAAGTGAGATTTCACTCCAGGAAATTTAGGGAATACGAACATGTTTAGATGTGAAAATCTTAGAGCGTATTTTTATCATTAATCTTATTGAAGCAAGATTAATATTCAGCGAATAAGGATTCTCAAATATTAGAATTTGTTGTGATGTATTATAAGAAATACTTTTTCACATGAACGAGATCACGAACAGTAGAATTTTACGGAAATACTTTGCGTTTATTGTGCGATAAAAGTGCAACCATGACGGTTTGAAAGCGTAATATTCGCATTGGAGGCATTTAAATATTTGACATCTCCTCGCGGAGCACCGCAGCGCACCGGAAGCTTTTCAGAGCGCATTTATATACGTTAAATTCAACCTTCTTCTCGACGTTACAAGAACCCAAGAGGTACTATTAAAAGTAAATTAACACTCTCTGTTAATATTCGCATCAATATTAATATTAACGTAATAATTTACTAACATGTTGTTTCGTTAAACGAGCAACCTGTTTATGCAGGAATTAATTACAGGCCCCATCGAGTGCTGCATTCATTACAATACATAATAAATAGTAAAACAGGCTTAATCGGCGAAATTAATTTGCGCGCGAAATCGATTTTCGCGTTGAGTGGGTAATTTTCGAGGGAAACGAAATCTTTGGAAAGATTCACTTTGTTGAACGAGCACGTAGATCACGAGGAAGATCTGTGCATTCGTCGATATTCCGGCATTTCTAAACGAACGTGGAAGGCAGAAAGGGTTACTGTTTCATGAATTAACCATTTATCCCCCTTCCCTTCATCGTTTCCTGTCCGGTGCTCGAATGCCAGTGGCCACTTTACAACGACTATTATCAGAGTTACAACCGCCCCTCGTCAACGATCCGGAGTCGGGTGGGGACGAATTTGCTTCTCGTTGTGTAAATTTGAACTAGTCTCTCCGATAAGCTTATTTCGCGCCCTTTACATGATTGCATTGTGCGAAAATCACGTAACTCATTGAAGCTGTTCGAGGAAGCGGCAAGTTGATTCTTGAAAGAAAAAGAATAGGTCGATACGAATATTTTTTTTTAAATTAAATTCTACTGTATTTTTCTTTATAAATAGAAACGTATTTAAATTATAGGCAGCGTATAAATATTTTTAAATATGCATTCTAATTATTATCAAAATTATAGTAATAACAGTATAATATTTTCATATTTATATATGATAAAAATATATAATAAAGCATTAATTAGATATATTTATATTAACGCAGTTGTATCGTACAATCATTGTTATGGAAAAGAGGTTAATGGCTGCGTAAATTTTACAGAATCGATTGATAAAAATCATCGCTTTTGAATAGTATGAATAAGTGAGTTGCTTGTAAAAACTTGGAGAATTGAAATTTTTCACAAATATAATAATGATTATAATTATTTCGTATTATACATACACAGTATTTTATGCGCAATTGCACTAAGTGAATCTCTCAGTGCTCCATAAATGATTTAGTCGGTGAGAGCTGGAAATTGTCGAGGGACACAGATCTGGAAAGAGACAGGATTATCCGAACGCCCAAGTTCCTTCTTTCTTCATCGGAATTTCGCAGAATGGCATCGTATATACCGGCACGACGCAGCTCGGTTACGACTTATCAATTTATTTCTTTCTAGAATCACGAAGGTCGACAGTTTCCCGTTAACGAGGTCCGGTATATTTTCTGCGAAATACAACAAGATCTTTCACTGAAGAATTCATTCGAGCGAATTTCTCTTCGGGAGAAATCGAAAAATATCACACTCTTCGAAAATTTGATTTAATGCGAGATTTACGTGGCAGAAATATTGGAAGTATATCTGTATTATTACACCCACTCTTCGTTGTGTTATCATTATCAAGGTATAACAAGAAAGGGAGAATTTCTCCAGAAACGGAAATACTGGAAAAAAGAGTCGCGTTGCATTGATTAAAATTCTGGTTGAAAATGGACAAATTAAAATTTTCTGCCAGAATCTGGATATGTATAATTCTAATTGAGATAAACCGGAACTCTCTAATTGATGTGATCAGAATCTTCTATTTAGACATTTTCAATTAGAAATTTTTCTCACAAGGAAATCCATGGAAGTTATGTTATTTTTCGGATAAAAATACGAGATGCGTATATAAGAGCCCGATTGCACTTTTAGGGGATACAATCCTCCTTTGAAAAAAATCGGTTTTTCTTTCTTTCGAAACATTGTCGAAACTGTGTAATAGAGAGAAAAAAATGTTCTGAATAAAAATTGAATGGTTTGAAAAGTATTTCATAATATTAATTAAGAAAATTTGTTTGAATAAAATAATTATATAAATAATTCGTCCGTAATTAGGAAATTATGATATTCCTCGTCAAAAAAATTGTCAATTTCTCATCTACGAAGTCTGTCTGAACTTTGATTGAATCTTCGTATTTAGACTTGTTGTTAATGCAGCAAGTTTTGACTGGGTTTGTACGTCAACGCTCCATTGAGCAAATTAATGAGGACCGCGCGACATTATTGAGCCACGCAGGCGCGCACGTGTGACATCATCGGCTGCACGTAATACTAAGCCGTTGTAATATCGTGATCTGTGAGCTTACTCGATGAACACTATTAATATTGCGTAACGCAGATTGCGCAACGTTATATTGAAAACCGCTTACGATTTTATGTGTAAAATAGTCTTTAATTTTCAATCGATAGATTCTTTGATCAATTTTACCCTCAGCGTTCTCTCGTCGTTTTATTTATTATAATCTAGACATTGATTTAAATTTAATTTTAGTCTAACTAGAAAAATTCTTTCGACCGCTTCATTTATTAGCTAGAGTATTCTAAATTTAGAGTTCGTTCAGAGTTTATTTTTACTTCAGCCAGAGTTTCTCCCAGTCGTTTTATTATCACTAGTTCCGTTTACATCTCGAAACTAGTTCACCGCGGAAACTCACGATGAGAAATTCCCAAAGGGCTGCAGTTTCTATTCAAGCACTTTGTGAAAAATCCCGAATATTCCTTTAATAAATAAGGAGGCCGTCAGGCGGAGGACTTA